ATATATATATATATATATATATATATATATATATATACACATATATATATATATATATAAGCATTTTGAAAAATATACTTTCGTCTATATTTGTTATACGCGACTCCACTGATCACTCGATGTATTCCCACATTGATTAACCAACGAAACTTGTTTCCTACGATCACCGACGACGAGATAAAGCGACAAGAAAGCGTGTGTATTTTATAAACGGGCGTTTATTGTTGTACAGTGAAATTTACAAATTGGTTGTCTAAGCTAACACGTATTTAAATTTCACTGCTGTCACATACGTGCGCCGATAATCCGTTCACGCAAGTATCACAACGTGCCGTCACGAGCGATTACCTTGAAAAAATTACACGTAATGACGTACGCACTTAAAGTTATCGAAGTCGACAGTGTTTCACTTGACGATTTTTTACGCGACACCGAGTCTGTGCATATTAATGCTACTGTGGTACTTTAATTACAGCTTTTACGCACTCTTAATCGTATTAGTACATATATATAATCTCTCTCATGCGTCTTTGAGTCGTACGTGATAATCGGTTAAACGGATCTTTTATTACTCTTCAGACGGTCTTGACTTTTCAAAAAATTCTTGAGATCCTTGAGACTTCGAAATTCGCTTTACTTGGGGGACACATCTCAGGGCTGGAAAGAAAAGTCCCTGAGGTTTTCGCGTGGAGTAACACTAACGATCGTTAGAAAATTCTGTTCTTGTGAGCATTGTTACGTTGTTATAGTTGCTACACACGAATGGATCGCGAGATTATTGCGAGAAATCGCGAGAGTTGGAATATAAACGGGATATACAAAGAATCTCCTTTGGCAGCTTTTACTTCTTCGTAGAAATCCTTCTCGCGACGCTCGCGCGTCTCGTGATCTCCCGTCCTTTCTGCACTGTTGCGCATGATCCTGCTTCGTTCGATACTATCGCGATATATCGCAGCTTCGCGATATTTCAAAGAGCGCATTTCTCGATTCGACCGTACACAACTCGGCAGTGATGACTCCTCGAAACTTAATATTCACCGCGGAGTCTGATGGAAGCGCGCGATGCCAGGTCATGAATATTAATTCGGGATTAAGGACCGCTACAAAGATAAAATGTATCTCCGCAAACACGATCACGTCTTAGGATACTTGGTCGTGGGGGAGAAAGAGAGACAGACAAATAGAGAGAAAGAGAAAGCCACGAGTCTTCGACGACTTTTATTCTACTTGAAGGGAAATTACGTTCTCTGAGCTTTATCAACTTCTGAGCGTTACGTGTTTTGTTTTTTTTTTTTTGAGCAGATATTCGATCGTAGGTGATGACTCGTCGGTGTATAATTCACGCGAGCTTGGCCTCAAACATGCGAGTGTTCGAATGCATAGTGTCCAGGAAGCAGAAACTCACCACTCTGAGAGTCTCTTCGTTCAGGCTCGCTCCGATACACCCACGAGTCTTCACTCTTACGCGACTAACTCCGACGTAAAGTTAAGAATTCGTCGCAACGATCACGAAGACAGAGACTTCGTGCAAAATAAATAATTCGGTAAGGATCAGACAGTAGTACACTGAGGAAAAAATATTTGAATATTGATTTGTGAGATATCAAGTTTATCTCTCTAACTTGATATTTCACAAATAAATCTTCAAGTATTCTTTTTCTCAATTTAGACACACATCGCGCGCCTCTCTCGACTGGTGCCTCGACGATGCTCGTGTCAGTCGGAGGCTCGAGGTTCGCACGCGAGAAACTCACGAATGAAAGATCATGGCCTCTGGATTATCGTCAGAACGGAGCGTCCCAGCCGCGCACGGCGACACGATGCTCATCACCATTGAACTACTGCCTACGAGAAGAACACTTGGAGACAGAATTCTCAAGCGGACTTGGTACTCTTGAGGGTCGAGCCGCTTCATCACGCTCGGCGCAATTCGATTTTGGCTTCGAGCTTCGCTAAGCTCGAATGCGACACACAAGAGAGCACAAGCGTGCGATTGTTCATTTGCACACGAATGCTCGGCGAAATCTCGTGGTCGGAGAATTGCGCTTTCCGGCCGAGTGAGTGCCGAAAGGACGCGGGCGCGCTATAAAGCCACCGCCCTCTTCGATCGGAATTACGCGTGAGCTTCGAAAGTTGTGGCTTCAAACACAGTTGCACGCTCTCGCTTGTGTGTCGCAGTCTTACAGAAGAGACAAGTGGTGCTGCCATTTGCGAGAGCTCTCTCTCTCTCTCTCTCTCTCTCTCTCTCTCTCTCTCTCTCTCATGCCAGGCGCTATAGTAGTGTCGCTCGAATATTGGGTCACTTATCGCGACGATCCGTTTGATCCGTTTCCGTCGAGTGTCTTTTCCTTCCGATCGATGCTGCACAAAGCGCCGACGACATGCTTCGCGATTGTGTATGTATGTGTGCGTATGTGTCGGATGTATGTAGGGGTGCGCGTATACATGTACACGACCCTGAAATTCCGATCGTTTCGAGAGTCTTCGCGTCTCGTCGTCGTCGAAGCTGTCGCTAATTACACACCGATTAGCGCGACGATCCAATAATGTTCTTACGCGAACGCTTTGACGAAGATATTCTCGAATCCGACACGAGGACGCGCGAATTCTTATTCATGTACCGTGCTGGCCCCTATGATTTCCCGCCGGGCGCCTTCCTTCGCTCGTTATCGTCGAAGACATCGATGCGTCCTCTTTTCTCTTCTTTTTCCTCCCTTTTCCTTTACATGCTGCAATAGTACTTAAGGCCACCTATTTCCCGCTGTCCTCAAAAGAGATTCATAGTTACGACAAATGAAATTGCCAAGAGACGCCGCATCGATGTCTTCGATACCAGCAACAATGATCGCTGGAAGAAGAAAGGGAGACATTTCGAGAGCGTCCGGTATAGCGTATTTTATTAACGTTCCCACGAGCTATGTCCTCCTCCTCGGAAACCATCGATATCCTACCTCTCCTAAGTAGCAACTACATACAATCCATGTCTTTATCAGCGGTAACGATCACGTGCAACCTTACATTTCTACCGGTAGAAAGAACCATCCACAATGTCCCTTAAGTGGTAACGGTCGGACACGATAAGCCGGCTCGGTAATAACGGTTCGGGCAGTCCAGTGGCGTGAGCGCGTTATGGTCAGCCAGATGGCCGCGCTGTGCTTCAAGCAATAACGCTCTCGCTAATGATCGGCCACTGGCGCCAGCAACAACGTCCCGTCACCATCAGCCGCGTCAGCTTGACTTGAGTACTCAGCACTGTTAATTCGCGCGATACACGCGCGATAACGAATCGTGCGCCACGGGGAAAGATCGATCGCGATTTCCCTCGTCGGCCGATTCGAGTCATATTCGCGTGGTCGCGACAGACCAAGAGTTCCGACTGATCGATCGATCGTGATCAGAACCTGGACTCGGCGCTGGCCTGCGCGTCCACGAAGGTCACCCGCTTTGTCCGCGAGTTGTTGCCCTCTGGGGGCAACCCCTAATGCTATACGGATATCTCTTGTATTTGCACGCGCTTCTTAATGGTGTTGGTTCCAGAAGAGGTGCTGAGAGAGCTGGTGGTGCGGGTGGGCGGTTTCGGCGGGATGGGATCCTTGTGGATGGTGTTGCTGGTCCCGTGGCTGGATCGCGACTCTTTCCGCGACTGCTCGCCGTTCTGAAGTTCCGGGGACTGGGCGAGCTGTTGCTGGTGTTGCTCTTGGATCGAGGGACTCCTCGCCAAGGTTGTGTACGACGGCGGAGGTTCCTGAGCGGGTCGCGGGTTCTCCGAGGACTTTATGGATGTCCTAGTAGTGAGTGGCAGTGATTCCTGGCCGTTAGGCCTGCAGTCCATGGTGGCGCGCTTCTTGTCGCGGTCCCGCTGGTAGTAAATGCCGGCGAAGATCAGCATGTTCAGCACCAGGAGGATGCAGCCGACGCCCACGGTGATCGCCAGGGCGGTGGTCGTGCTGTAGTAGTGACGGGATGCCAATCGCTGCAGCAGCTCGGCATCGTCCTCAGAGTCGTCCAAGATCGGCGTGATATCCTCGGCGAGGCTTTCCTCACCCGTGGACGTACTGCAGGCAGTGGTCGAGGAGGCGCTCGTCCGGGTCGTGCCTGTCAGCGGCAGCGGCGTGTACCATTCGTCTCGCACCGGCCCTGAACGATCACGGTAACGGCAGTCAGAGATTAATAGAGAGATTAGTTAATTAATTCATTAGCACGCTGACCGTCACGCCAGTCGTTGTTCGCGGTCAACGTGCTAATTGAGCGATAACTTTTTGAACTTAAATTCTCCAGAGCGATAAGGCATGTATATACTCAGTGTGTATACATGTATACTCAGAGAGAAAATATTCAAGAAATATTCGGTACATATACTAATAACATATTTACTTAAATTTAATTTCTTTTATTTAAATCAGATAGTCAATTATTTTTTCATGAAAAGCTATGGCAAATGTATGTTTCGCTATTGGAAAAATTTTTCCTATTATGTAAAAGTATGTATATTAATATAGGTAAATGTATTATGGTACTTATCGAATATTTTTTATATATTTTTTCTTTCAGAGTGTAGTTTCCAAGTTCTCAAGTAAAAATGAGATTTTTAAAATCTCATTTTTCACAAACTATTTTACTAATATTAAATCTGAAGTCAAGATACAACGCGAAGAGCGAAGAGCTCTAAGGGGTAACAAACTTGTCACCTACATTCCAGTATAACGAGGATAACGGGGTCAAAAGGTTAATTGAGCGCAGGAGAATCGTTCGTTTCTTGTCGCTCGAAGGGCGGTTTGTCGTCCTTACCTGCGTAATAGTGGTCGCCGCGTTCCCTAAAGTGGTGATGCCGCATAGAAACGTCGTCGTCGCCGGGACGATGCAGCTGCGGTATCAAATTAAGCCACACTGCCATTTTGTGTCCGCGATAGTGGCTCTTCATCTTGGGCTTCAATGCTGAAATGAACGTTTGGCGATTAAGATATGAGCATTAATCGTGTATTAATTAATCGCACAGGCGTGCTTGAACAGCCTGTTACAAGCGACTGACGCTAATTGCCGGATGAATCTGCATTTATCGAGCGTGTTAAAGTATTCCTGCGCACACCGGTCATTCGCGACGAGCAATTTCGACGTGTTTCATCCGCAACCGCGGAGAAAACGAGATCTCGTGTTGCGCACAATTAAAGTTTTAAGAAAGACTTCTGAGGAGCATCAAAGTGCAGAAGAGCGGATGGAGTCTCAGAATAAACACAATCAAACTTCCGAGGTAACTTCCGGGGGAATTTAAAAAAGTCGTGATATCCTCTCCCCGAGAGAGACAAAGGCAGCTGGGAACAGTAAGAGGAAGAGACAGACAGACGGAGCTTTATTTATTGTGCGCTCTGGGACATAGTCCCTTCTAGCGCAAATAACATTACAGAAAATAAGTATAAAAGAAAACAATGAGGAAAAAAGAAAATTAAGTAATTGGAACAAGTTTGTAATAAATACAAGATCAATAGTGTATCAGAGAGAGAGAGAGAGAGAGAGAGAGAGAGAGAGAGAGAGAGAGAGAGA